AAAAAGTGTTCAAAAACTAATGATTAATACAATTGAATGAAAAGTACAGTAAAAATCATATGATTTTATGATTCAATGCTTTCGTTCCCAAAACCTATGCTTTAATTCAATGCGTTAGATGTGAGCGTAAACTCGAGCCACGGCTCGAGCTTTACATACATATGGGTTCTCAAGGACTATAGCTATTGATTGTAATGAGAAAACTCCTAAAAGGCATTCATTACTCACTTTTCTGGCAATTAATGAATGAAAAAATATTTATTTTAATGAGTTTTTGCAGTTAAAAGATGCATTGAATATGCGATAAGATGTTTACAATGTTTGTGTGAATACTAGCTATGATTTGGTCATTTGGTCACTACTTGTGCGCCAACGACTCAATGTGGAGTACGAGAGTAGTGGAGAGCGAGCCTCGAGTCTCGAGCCCTTTAAATGTGTCAATCGATTGAATGCATTGCTTTCAGACCTTCTCATCCAATGAGACGCTCGTCAACACAACGCAAACCATTCAATGAATAACGTCTAAAACAATGCATTCATTGCACTTAGATTTACATATATTTTCTTAAATGTTACCATAATTTGCAAATTAATTAGTATTTAAGACACGAATAGAAAATTGTTGCGATTATTGAATCGACCGATCAATCGCTGAACACATCAAATATAATTGAATTAATTTTCACAATACTTGACGTAATATGTGTTGAGAGATATTGTATTGTGTGATATGTTTTGTAGTGAGAAGTGATCGTTAGTTCCCTTTAAACTCAATCTTCCCGTAAGAGTTAATTGAATTAAAATTATTAACAATTAATTGATGACATTATTTGAAGTTCTTTGCGATTGGATGTAAAGTATTGACCGAAAGGACGAGTTTTGAGTATTATTTGCTATAAAGAAGTGTTGATTAATATATTGGTAGAAGTGTTGCGGGAATTGCGATGCCTTTGAAAGTGTCGTTTGAAAGTATGTGTAGTATTGAGTCTATAGTGTTGTCATACATTTGCAGCCATTTTTATATTCATCTAATGTTTGTCTTTTAAATATCTGTGAAATGTTTCGTTAATTTAGTCTTAAATTTGATTTAAATCTAGTTTTAATCTCAAAGAGTGTCTCAAAATCTGGTAATAATCTCTCAGTGAATGAATTGGTGGTAGAGATGAAGCAAAAGAGGAGTGCAGTCGTGAAGAGCAGTAGTATTGGTACGAAAGGGACGAACGGTTATAATGTTTGTCACGAATCCTATGAAACCAATCATTCAAAGACTTTTGCAAAGCCTGTCGTCAATGGCTTTCATGCGATGAACAAATCAGTGAACGGATCGACCCATGCTTTCAATGGCATCAATGGTCACAATTCGGTGACCACTCCTCACAACCACTCTTCGGCCCGAAACCGAAGTCAGTCGACCCCGAAGTCGGTTCCGCCGACGACAACGACGACCACTACTCCGACCGCCAAACAACTGATTGAAACCAAAAACGCTTCAAAAATGCCTTCAAATGAATCAAACAATAGTTTTGTGACAAACACTCGACAGACGCCTCATTCATATCCCAAAACCAGTCAATTGTCTTCATTACTATCGTCAGCAGCACATCAATGGTCTCACAGCAACACATCGGGTGATCCGTTATCTCAAAGTCACGTCCGGTACGCGGGCTCGCGATTCACTGAAGCGCCCAATCCTTCACTTCTGCCAAAACCCCCGAAACACTGGATGAGCGCCAACGCCATCAACACTCTGGTGGCCAACGACTCGGCGGTCAACGCTATGACCAATGGCTTCGGTGTTGAGCACAACACTACTGATGACAATATAATTGCGTTACGATTACTGCAAATCAGTCGCGACATGAATGCCACACAAGCCAACAGTATTGCCCTCAATGGCCACCAATACGACCGCCGATCGTATGTTAATAATTGAGAAGTGAATCGCTTTACTCTTAACTCTAATCCAAACGGAATCCACTCTTTTGTATAAAATTTAATAACTGTTTCAAATTTCTCGTCAAATGATTTATTATATGATTTGCTGTCATATTATCCAATGAAAGACAATTGATTTCAACAAATTTTCTTCATATCTTCAAAACTACAAAAACCTAAATTTTGTTCAAAATCTAAATCAATGTTTAACTGTTTGGATGAATGAATTGATCAATTGATTCACAAGTCTGTCCATAAGTTACTGTTTTTTTCTCTTCTTTTTTCGTCTCTCTTTTGTTTATAATTTCTTTGAATTCATTCCAACTTTTCGTAAATAAGTCTTAATTTAAGTTCAAATTTAATTATTATAATAATTACTATTTGAGTGAATGATTGCGGAAATTATTTTAATATTTAAAGTAATTCTATATAAAAGACAATAACTATTGATATATTATTGATATTGATGTCTGACATCACTATATATTGCTTCAAATAATGACACAATTTTATGGCTAAAAGTATTGATTAATGAATCGATTTGTTATTATTTCGGGAATTTAGTCGACATTTCTCTACGAAAACAAGTGTGAAAAACGAGACTTAATTTGAGAAATTGTTTCAAATAATAAATTAATTGATATTTAATAGTGAACTCACGATTAGAAATGTCCACAAAATATAAATATATAATATTTCCGAAGAAATGTGTCGTTTTTTGTGTCATTAATTATATTAAGACAACACGAAGACAATGAATACTTGATTATTATTATTATTAGAAAAAACATTATAAAAAACATGATTTAAAAAATTATTACAAATATTTGTTAATTTAGAAGATTTTCTATTATATTATCAAAAGTGAACTCATTTTTTGCAACCAAATTGTCTCAACTCTAAAGAGAAGTGAAAATCTAATTATTATTTAGTTTTTTTGCCAACAAATGAAGATATTATCCGAACTTATAGTTTATAATCTATTAGAAGAAGAATTCAACTAAATCTTCACAAATCTCACCGAAATTTCAAGAAAAATATTCGCAAATATTGGCTTTAATATGATTTTACTGTTGAATTTTGTGTAATTTATTTCTCTCTATTCTTTAATGTCCACAAATCCTTCCCCCCTTTTCTTAGGGCCCCTTTTGGGGCCCTTTCCATGACTGATCAAAAGGAAATGAATCCTTAATAATGCCTAAAAATGCCTACGAATTGATATCAATTAAAATATACACAACTATGCCTTAAACTTATACTAATTATTGATTTTTTGCAGCTATTCTTCCCATCGATCGATGCGTTGACTTTTATACAAAACTTATGCATTTAATGATTGTTTTATTTTTAGATCAAAATCAATGGATAAATGGTGTTTCATCCGGGCATACATTTACCACTGTTTTATTTCTAATTTTTAAATTATGCTTTGTATAGAATTGTTGCTATTTTGAGTATATTTATTATTTAAATGAATTAATTGTTAATTATTTCTAGTCATGAAATGCTGAGATTGTCTGACTTGTGAGACGAGTGAAGGGAAATGCAATCTTATATTTCGAAAACAAGAGTTGTATAAAGATTTGGAGCAGTATTTTGAACAAAGGTTTGCGCCGTCAGTAAAATGCCATATCCTTTGGCCCAAAGCTATTGGAAACGAGCGGTTGAACGAAACGCACAGAGCGTTGTTGCGAAGGTTGGGAGATATGAACCGCGTCTAAAGGTTGGGCTCAATAGAGGTCTCCGAAGCCATAAAGCAATAAATGAGAAAATGATACGAAACGAGTCTCAAGTCCTAAACGATTGACTGGATTGGAGACAACCTTTTGTAGCCGAACTTTGCCGCAGCCTTGAGTTGAGCCAAAACTAATTGTCTAATCATTAGAAACCGATAGAAAAGACAATCACATTCATTGCAAAACTCAAATGACTTTTTTAATAATGTAAAATTGTTTATAGATTTTTTGTCATTTCATTGCAATTGTTTTGAAATAAATATATATTTAATTTATTGTAGGATTGCATTAAATTTGATACTTTTTTTTATACAATATATATTGATTTTGATGATAATTTACAATTCATTTATATATTAGAGATAACATCTTAATAAAAAAACGACGTTTTTATGAAAACAATTTACTTCTTGTCTTTACTAATCCTTTCGATTTCTGCGCCCAAAGTATTGAGATTTTCCTAAACAGAGAAACGATTGATAAAATTATTTTGACATTTGAATGGATATCCAATACCTTTAAAGTGATATTCTTTAAGAGAGTGTCCTCTAAGACTGCCTGCAATTTCTTATTGATTTCCAGCGACAACTCTAATGTCATAGTTGTATCATTAGGAGCGCTGTTATACAACGAGGACATAATACCAGTCCCTCTTTTGGCCACTTGACGCTACAATGCATTCAAATCAATGTTACATTTTTTGCAATCAATATTTAAAGTAATAGACATTGAATTAAACTATAATTTCAATCAATTTATACCTTCTTTTTATCCTTAAATGTGAGCAATAATTAGAAAATATAAAAATAGTTGATTGAAAGATATATGGATTTCACACTTACTTTATGTTCATCCATGGAAGTGGTGGATAGGGCTCCCGATTCCTCTCTCATTATATAGTATTGAATGAGTTTTGACTTTTTCTTCATCTCTTCGATGAGTTGTTGATTATGTTCTTCAAAAAAATCTATTTTTTCGCTTTTCTTTTCTAATGATTTCTGAAGTTTTATAATGCGTTCAATTAGTGACTGTTTGTCCACTTCTGGAAGAATCATAGTGTTTGGGACCGAAGTGTTGGTCGAATCGACTGAATGTGTTTGCGGAGGAATACTGACTGTAGGTTTGGGTTGCGATGATTGGGATGTGTGTGAAGTATG